CAAGTTTCCTCAAAGCCTTTGGGGGCTGCGAGACGGAGGGCTTTCTTTGAGTTCCTCCCACCCTGTGAAACCCCAGAAGACAGGTGTCGGGTAGAGAGCCCTGGGAGCCTGTGCTCATGACCTTGTCTGGAGGCTGACAGCCCTCCTCAGGTAAAAAGCGTTTGCTTTTGCCCTGGTGCGAGCCATTAGCTTTGCCTGACAGTTCACCCCCCAGACTGTGTGTTATCTTTTGCAGAAGTCATGAGCTGGAGGAAGGACAAACCACTTCCTCTACAGCCTTCAGATTTATCAGGCACAACTTTTGACGGTTTCAGTTTGAAGAGAATTTTCTTAAAAAAGCAAGAAGTTGAGAAGCGTTAGATAAACAAAGTGGCTTCTCTCCCCTCTGTTCTCTGCTGCTTCCAGGGTTGGGACAAGGCACCTCCATGGGCCTCTGGGATGCGGGGAAGGGGGCTGGTGGGCCCGGGTTCGAGAGGGGGCTGATGTTCAGAGCTTTCTTTGCACATCAGGCTGCTGGCTGAGAGACCAGGCTCCCAGGCCACTGCCTCGTGTTTCCTGTCCTGTGTGTTATGGCGCCTGCACCCGGAGGCCAAGTCACAGAGACAGATGTTTTCAGAAGTTTGACCACAGAGCAGCTTTCTCTGCCCCTCCATGTGTCTGGAGAAAGTGCTGAAGATATGGCTGGACCTGAACCAAAGCAAGTGCTGGCCCCCCGGAGATGCTGGCCCGGGTGCTTTCCCCTCCACTGCTTACCTGTTAAGGTCTCACACAAAAGGGGAGGCTTGGGCTAGATTGGATGGAACGATAGGGAACTGTGATTTTGTAAGTCAAAAGGAGTAAATATTGGTTTCATGTAGGTTGACCTACTAGTTTGTAAGTAAACACAGTTCCTGACTTCCTGGTGTCATCTCGTAGAAGTCTTTGAGACTCCTAAGATCAGGACAAAAAGAAGCCCTTCCTTGAGGAGGAAAAGGGAACATAATGCTTGGTGTGCATACACATATACACATACACACATACATGCATACACAAACATACACATGCACACATACACATGCACACATATACACCCATATATACACATATACACATATATATGTATAGACACATATGGACATCTGCATGCATAAACGTGCATGGATTAAACCACACATATACACATATGTGCATCTTCAAAGACTGTCTTTGGCTTTTCACTCCTTGCATTCAAATTTACTAGGTGTATGTGTGACTTTGGGCATGTTGTATAACTTCTGCCTCAGTTTCCTCATCTCTAAGATGAGATCCGTAGTAACATTTGTGACCTGGGATTGTGGTCAAGATGCAGTGAAGGAATGCATGAAAGAAGACTAGCACAAGGCCCAGGACCTCCAGAGGGCTTGAGATGAACTCTTCTGATGTTTAGTGTTCTTTGTGGTGTCTCTTTGGGCCTTCACTGCTCCCACGGCACCTGGTTTGCCCACGAGTGCAGGATTTGGCTCATCTGCCCGTGGTTCTCCTGGGTACAGTAGATGGTGAACTCTACCACCCATTCCACACTGCTGAGCATTAGCTCTGTGCCACGGACTGTTCTAGGGCATTTCACCATGGCCTCTGCTCTCAGGAAGTGCAGCGTTCACAGGCGGGGTGGGATAGGGGGAAGTTGACCCTAGACAAGCAAGCCAGCAATGACTAAGGCCCCTTCAGAGGTGGCAAGTGTGAGGCTGGAAATGGGACGGTGTAAAGCAGCAGAGGGTCGGGCAGGGGCATACGTTAGACTGCGCAGTCAAGGAGAGCCTCTCCGAGGAGGCGACACTGATGGAGGAACTAGTCTTATGGCAGTCTGGGAGAAACATTTCAGGAGTGGGTACAGCAAGTGCAAAGGACCTGAGGTGGGAAGACAGAGGCTGGTTGTGACTGTCACAGCAGCACCAGCAAGGAGCTTGGAGTTTATTGAGCACCGTGGGAGGCAGGGGCAGGATGGGGTCTGATGACCTTTTACTAAGGTTGATGAGAGAGGCATCAAGGACAGACTGTGGTGTGTCCTGCTCTTCTTTTGTCCCTTTGGACCTGCGCTGGACTCAGCCACACAGTGGCTGCCCAGGGAGTTGTTAGGGGGCTGGTCTGTTGAACTGGTCTCTGTGAGGCTGTGAGGACAGCCATTCACCACGCATCCAACGGAGCAGGCTTGCATCCCATCTGTGTGCCCTAAGTGTCCTGATCTGTTGAATGGGCACGCAGATGGGATGCCTCCCCGCCCCACCCGCCGTGCCGGGTGGCCCTGTTCCCCCTTGTCCTTCTCTGAGGTCAGTCTCTTTCAGCTCCCACAGCGCTGACGTTCTTTCTTGTTTGTCGTGGGGGAGGGGTATTTAATTGCATTCCTCATGAGTGAATGACACAGAAAGGGCAGGGGTACGTCAGCGGTGCTGCTCTATAATTTTCATGTCTGGGATGGGTTTCAGAGCTGAGCTGTTTTCCTCTCTGACTGGCAGTGGCTGCTGCCCAAGTCAACAGCGGTGCATTTTCGAGTTTGCCTTTGTTGGTTTTCCTTTCTCTTTCTTCTTCTTCTTTTTTTCCCCCCTTCCTATGAAATAAAACTTGTGACTTGGATGTGGTGGCTGAGAATTAGTAGTTTCTGTCCTTTTGGTGTGGGAGTCGGGAGGGGGTTGATTTAAACGTTTATTTCCCATTAAGAGATTCATGGACTTGGAAGCTGGCCTTAGAAGTGGGGTGATCACAAGCCCCGACTGGTGACTGTGATGCCTGTAGGGCTTGGGTTCGCCTTAGAGGGAAGAGGGAACGTGCTGAGGAGAGGCTGCAAGCGGGCGACCCACGGACCAAGGCCAGTCTGCTGATGTATTTTCCTTGGCCTACACGGTGCTTTTGAAAAAAAATGCTCCAGTAGGTTGTCCACATTGAAAAATCGGGAGAGCTCCCCTAAAAAATGTCCGGATTTTCATTTTCTAACAATAACAACAAAAGCAAACACTTCTGTGTCATTTACTACGTTCCTGGCACTATTCTAAATGATTTCTATCTATTCGCTCCTCTGATCCTCAGAGCAGCTCTGTGGTGCAGGTATCTTCATTATCATCCCATTCCACAGCTGGGGAAACCGAGGCAGACAGTGAACCGGTTTGTTCCTGGTTGTGTCCCCCCCTTCCTGCGTTGCAACTGTAGGCTGGAGCTGGTGGTGGCTGCCTCCTTTTGGCTGGGCACATGTTCCCCAGTTCACCCCAGCCTTGCCCAGCCCACTGTACTCAGGTTCATGACCTGCCCGGCCGAGGCCTGGGGACTTCGGACTTTGGAGAGGTCAAGATGAGTGATAGGAGTGAAGCTGCTGTTCTTTGCACGGAGTAATTTTCACTGACTTATCCCTGCCTCCCATGCTGCCCGTGGCCACCCAGAGCCCACCTGGGCCAGGCAGATCCCACACCACTTCTGCTCTGTGTGAGGTTTGTGCAGGCTCCCTGGTTTCAGTTCAGACCTCCAGTGGGAGGTGCTACGTGAGGATCTCAGGAATGAGCTGAGACAGGCTGCAGGAGAAGGGGGACCCCAGCACCCTGCCCTGTGCCAGCCATACTTCTGTGGGAGGGGAGCAGTGGGGAAGGCAGAGAATCCACGGCCCACCTGGGGCAGGAGTTGCCTAAGGCGCTGTGCCCGAGGTTCCTTCCTGTGGGGCACTTTTTCTTGCGGTTGGGCACCTCCATCTGGGCGCAAGCCTGGGACGGTGTCCGTCCTGAGGCCCCACCAGCCTGGCCGCCCTACGTCCCACCGTGGGGAGAGCAGGGGGTTGTGTGTCCACTGCATGTCTTTGTTGGAACTGCTGGTGGGTGGAACGTGGTTCTGGGGTGGCCAAGCTGGAGGGTGACTCATTTTGGAAGTATTGAGACGTCATTTCACCTACGGAGGCTTCAGCAATGTGGAGGTGAAGTGGCCCTTTTCACAGAGGGCTTGTGGCTTCGTGGATAGAGCTGCTGTGGTCAGTGTGGCTGGCTGTGGCAGAGAGGAGCGTGGGCTGTGATGAGAAGTTGTTGTGTTGGAGACCTTAATCCTTCCTTCCCTCCCTCCCTCCCTCCTTCTCTCCTTTTCTCCTCTCTCCTTCTCTCCCTCCCTCCTTCCTCTCTCTCTCTCTCTCTCTCTCTCTCTCTCTCTCTCTTTCTCTCTGTTTCTCTCTCTCTCTCTCTGTTCCTCTTTTAGGTGCATTTAAAAAACCCTCTTTATTGAGGTATAATTGGCATACAATAAACTGTACATTCTCCCTTTTAAAATGCTGAATGATTTCAGCCATTCAAAGAAGTATATAAAATAATGCGTAAATATAACAACTTATGTAAGAAATAAACCATTCCAGCTGCAATTCCCGATATCCCCACATGTGCCCCTCTCACATTTCACCCCCTGCCTTTCTCTTGTCCCTGAATTTATAAACATCCCCCTTGGCAGGAGTGCGAAGATTTCTCCCACTTCCCCCCCTTCTCCCTTTCCTCTTCTTATCTTCTCCCCCCACTCCTCCCTTCCTCTTTTCCTTACTTCCCAGGGGCAACCACATTTAACCCATTGGGCCTCCTGAGAATTTTCAGGAGACAGTGAAGAATAATGGAAAGAACACCAGGCTGGAGTCCTAGGTTTTAACCCCAACATGTTGGATGTCTTTGGACCTTATCTGTAATAGGGCTGTTTCCAACTTGGGCTAAAATCATTCCTGCAGAATTGAGCCAAGCATTTGAGGTATATAGTAGGTGCTTGACAAAAGGTGTCAGTCCATCCATTGATTTTGCAGAAGCCCGTCAACCTTGGAAATGTTAGCCCTGAATTCTTAAAGGGCAGATATAAGGGCATGCTATGAGCTATATGTTGAAATCACCAGGGTCCACAACTGGAGTTGCCTCCTTTCCATCTTTAGAGATTAGGAAACTCTGTGTTGTGGGAAGGCAGCCAGGCTCTCTCATCATCTGCAGTCAGACTTTATTTATCCTGCATTTAGGTTCAAGGTTCATATAATATTAAAAACAACAACAACAATACAACATAAGTTTATTTTTTTCTCTCATATAAAAGAAGTCTAGGGTTTGGGCTATCAGATTAGGACAAGTATGGTTGGTCTATATTCTTTATGGACCCATGCTGCTTCTATCTTGCTGCTCCACTGTTCTTCGCATCTTGCCTCATGGTCCAAATAGCTGTTCAAGTTCTTGCCATTGCATCTGTATTCCAGTTAGTGGGAAGTGGGCTCTTGTCATGACATTTACATTCCAGTTAGCAGGAAGCAGGAGTGGGAGGGAGAGTGGAGAAGGATTTCTACCCTTTTCAGGAGACTTCTGTTTTCATCTTATTGGCCAGATCGAGTCACACGGCAACTCCTAGCTGCAAGGGAGTCTGGGAAATGTAATCAGGGAGACACATGGTGAGTGAGGCACAGACATACCCTCATGTTTCTAAAAGAGGTCATCCTTTGGAAGCCTGCTCACATGTAGAACGGTGGAAGGAACTAATAAGTCTTTTAACAAGAACTAAGGTAAGAAGTAAATTTTCTTCAGCAAGGTTGTAAAGTAGAACAAAGAAATGGTTTATTCTTTATGGTACCAGGGTTGGAAACATGGTCCCTGGGAAAGAGTTGAGGGTAGAGCTTTTGGCTTCCTGTGCATGGAGGAATAGGCTGCTGGGTGAGGCAGTGAGCTCTCCGAGACAGGAAGTGTGCGAGCAAAGGTTGAATGGACATGTGTCAGTCAGGGAGGCAGCTGAGAGTGTTCCAGGCCTGGAAGAAAAGTTCATGCAACCTCAAGGAATTGCTCTTTCAGGGATCTCATCCACAGATGGCAAATATACGGACCTTGAGTTGTCACCTCCCTCCCCTGTCTTGCCAATGGCAGACATCACCGGTCCATCCTGATGCCCTGCTGAACCCAAATGCCACCCGAGAAACCTCCCCAGAGCCTCCCTATTAATAGAAGTTGCTCATGAGATAAACCCACTTGCCTACGGGAACCCAGTTGTCTCATTTCTACAAGTGAGAACATTAAGGGCCAGAGGTGCACATTGAGGCTGGCAGGGGACCCAGGGCTCTGAGACTCAGGTCTCTCTCAGCCACGCCATTGCTCCTCCTGTGAGTTCTTGACCTACCTGCAAGGAAACCCAGAGCTGCAGAAATTGCCTCCTGGAGCCTGCATGGCTGTGTCTTATTTACTGGAGCTCAGTGTAGACACGTCCTCCAGGAGCAGGCTGAGAGGGCACCACCTGCCACCCCAAGTCCTGGCTTTGCTGGACGTGGACACTCAGGAGAAGCTGGGGGATGTGGGCCGGCGGGAAGTGAAAGTGTGCAGCAGCCCTGTTAGTTCTGCTATTGCCCCGGCAGGGTTTTTCCTGGGGGGAGGGGGAGGAATCCGCTGTGTTTTCTTAACTTAATCTGGCCTTGCCCCAGAGAGAAAACACATGCAGTCTCCATCCTGTTTGTAAAGAGGGCGTTCAGTTACTCGAAGTTGCTGGCCTGGAAAAACTGGGAAGATGTCATCTCCGACTGAAGCGAGGTGTGTGCTGAGGACAGCTCAGGTGGGACCGGGCAGCCCCATTTATGGCGGCGGCGATGTCTTTGGACTGTCAGCATATGACCAGTTTTGTTTGGTAAAATACACATAACATAGAATTCTACCATTTTAACCATTTTTAAGTGTGCAGTTCCAAGTACATTCAGTTGTTGTGCAAACATCGCCACCATCCATCTCCAGAACTTTCTAATCTTCCCAAACTGAAACTGCACCCACTAAACACTCACTCCCCCTTCTCTTCTCCCTGCATCCCACCCCTGGCACCCACCAGTTTACTTTCTGTCTCTCTGAATATGACTTCCCTAGGTACCTCATAAAAGTGGAAACATACAGTATGTGTCCTTTTGTGTCTGGATTGTGGGGTTTTTTTTTAATTGAGGTGAGATTCACATAACAAAATCAGACATTTTAAGGTAAACAATTCAGTGGCATTCAGTACATTCACAATATTGTGCAACCACCATCTCTGTCTAGTCCCAAAATATTTCATCACCCCAAAAGGGAGCCCTGTACCCGTTAACAGTTATCCAGGCCTCCCCTCCCCCCCAGCCCTTTGAGCCAGCATGTGGCTATAAATCTATGAATTTGCATATAACTAGACACTGTACAAATGTATGTTGAATGAATGAAAGAAAATCCTTGCCAGTTGACAGCGATGAAAGCTTGGATTTCCTGGGCACCTACTATGTGCCAGCTCCATATAAACATCCATATTTCTCTGCCCTGGTCATACTATGGAATCACCCCAGGTGATCTTCACAACCCCTGATGCTCAGGCCTCAGCCTGCAGATGCTGATCGCATGGGTCTAGGGAAGGCCTGGGCACTGGCCTTTTTCAAACAGCTCCTGACGTGATTCCAATGTGAGGATGGCTGCCGTGCATTATTTCACTGTGATGTTGCACTTCCCTGGGCAGCTAATACTGTCTTCATTTTATAGACAAGGAAACTGGTTCGGAGAAGTTAAGCATCTTACCCAAACACACAGCTTCAAATCTTTGTCTGAGTCCAGAGCCCCGACCTGACTCTGCTGCTTCGCCTTCTCCGAACTAGTTCTGTTGGATGTGATTTCGAAAGGGGGACCTATAGCTACTCAAATATATGCTATGGGATGAAATAATTAAGTACTGTCTCATTAGCATTTATGGAATGCTAACTGTATATCAGGCACAATACACTTCATATCATTTTACTTGTACAGGAACCCTGGGCCGGCCCGGCTCTTATAATGACATCAGTTTCCCTATGAGCTGACACTATAGGGGACGTGGTTTGCTCAGACATTACTGGGGAAAGACAGGTGGGGCTCCATCAGCCGTCATGGAGGGGTCTCCCCTCAGCCATCGTGGTGGTGGTGGTGGGGGGCGGTTCAACTGCAGCAGAAAGAAACAGGAAGGTTGGCCAGTGTGATGTCCGTCGAGGGCCGGGCTGGAAGCTGGACATGGTGTTTCTACAACAAGGCCTTGGCAGTGGTCAGTACTGCCTCTGCCCAGTTTGAAAAATTTTGGGGCCACTGGAGTTGACCCAGAAGAAGCCATGCGTCCTTCAGGGCTATGGCTTGGCTGTTAGTTTTTCTCAGGAACGTTGTGTCGCATGGTTTATCCCTTACGTTTGTTTTTGAGATCTTTGAATGCTGTGGGATCGTTCATTCATTCATTCATTCATTCATCAGATATTACTCAGAACTGACAGCCTGGCACTGGGGCTTTGGGATGTGTGGTGGGCAAGACAGGCACAGTCTCCATTTTCCCCAGCCCTGAGGAAACAGATTGTAGCAACAAGCCCTATTTGAGCATGCCAAGCCCTGTCTCTGCATGGGTTCTCATTCCAGCCTCACAGCAGTTGTAGGAGATAGGCCCTTTTGTGGCCCTACGTAAGAGATGAGGAAAAGATGGCACATTTCTAAGGTTGCACAGCTCATGCTGAAGTTGAACAGTGCTGTCTGGCTTCAGAGCGCAAGCTCCTAACCTCTTACAGATAAATGAAAGAGGAAGTCCCCAGAGCATCTGTGTGGGGTCCGACCACACCCGAGCCAGAGCACGTCCCCTTGAGCTGAGGGCAGAGAGGGCGTATTGGTTTCCTATGGCTGCTATAACTGATTACCATGAACTTGGTGCCTTAAAACGAAGCACATTTATCATCTTACACTTCTGGAGGTCAGAAGTCCAAAAGTGGGTGTCATGGGGCCAAAATCAAGGTGCCGCATGCCTCCCAGAGGCTGCAGGGAAGAATTTGTTTCCTTTCCTTTTCCAGTTAGCAGAGGCTGCTGGGATGCCTTGGAGCATGGCAGCATCACTCGAGCCGCTACTCCCGTCATCCCAGCTCCTTCCCCGACGCTGACACGCCTGCTTCCCTCTTCTGAGGACCCTGGGGATGACATTGGGCCCACCCCGGGGACTCTCCCCATCTCAAGATCGTCGACCTGACCATATCTGCACAGTAGCCCCATTTACCATGTGAAGTAACATACTCACAGGTTCCAGGGATTAGGACCAGGACACCTTTGGGGGTCACAGTTGTGCCTTCCACAGCAGGGCAGACTGGGGTTGGCCGGGGGCCTGGAGGTAAGAGAGCGTGGCTGCAGGAGGGGCTGCTGGGTGCCTGAGTGCCTGGGGTGAGGACCGGGAGGGGTGTGTGGTGGGCAGGAGAGGCCGGCGGGGTGCATGGTAGAGGCCTGAGGAGCCAACGGTGTAGGCTGAGGGTTGGGCACCTGCTAAGTGGCTTCTGGGGAGAGCACCTCTGCTCCCGCCTGAGCCTGTGAGGACACATGAGTCCCAGGAGGATGGAGCCTGGTGGAGAACCCCTTGCCCTCATCCCTACACAGGAGCTTCCCTCCTACAGCCTTTGGGCAGGGCGATGGAGAGCTGGGAGCACTGGATGCGTCAGGTGCCAGCAGCTCTGAGACAGGGGGCGTTTGGCTGTCTGGGGTCAGGCAGGCCCCACGTGCTACATCTTTTCCACTTTTGTGGGGGTGATACAGCTGGGCTTTGGAATCCCTGCAGCTGGGTGGATCCAGGTTTTACCACATTCTGAGCTGAGCCTGTCTTTCTCAACTTTAAAATGGGGTTGAGACAGTGCCTGTCTCACAGGGTCACTTGTCAGGAGGCACCAAAGGAGACAAATCGTGGGATGTGCCTGGTGCAGAGCAGGCTCACGTGCTCATTCATTCAGCAGGTATTGCTGGAGCACCTGCTGTGTGCCAGGCACTGTTAAGGCACAGAGCGGAGCAGACAAGGCCCTGGCCCTCTTGGAGCCGGCATTCCACTGGGGGAAGAGAAGAAGAAAATGAGCAGGAAATAGAGAATCTTGTCAGCTGCTGATAAATGCTTTGGAGAAAAATATAGCAGGATAAGCACGGGAGTGCTGCTGTGAGTGGGGAGGGGGTGGTTTGTGTGTTGGCACTTTAAACAAGGTGGTCAGGAAGATCTGGATGAGACGGTGACATTTGAGAAAAGGCCTGATGGAGGTAAGGGAGCAAGCCATGCAATTATCTCAGTAGGTGCAAAGGTCCTGGGGCAGGAGTTGGGTGTTTCCTAAGAATGCAAGGAGGTGAATGTGGTTGGAGCAGAGTGAGGCAACTTGAAGAGGATGGCAGGAGTTGAGGTCAGTGAGTCAGTGGGGGGTCAGATGGTGTAGGGCCTTGAAGGAACTTTGGCTTTGGCTCTGAGGGAGAAGTGAGCTGTGCTAGAGCAGACATTTAAGGAAATGGCAGCTCCAAAAGCTCTAAACATGTCCCTCTCTCCCTCCTCACCTCCTCCCTCTTGCTCTCCCCCTCCCCTTCTCTTCCTCCGATGCCCACTCTGTTTTATGGGACTGGCTGACCCATCAAGGCCGGCCGCACTGAGCCCAGGGTCCAGCTTCACCTGCAGTCTGATCTGGGGACTTGATTCAGCCGTCCCCTCCTCCAGCCAGCCTCAGGATATGGCTTTTGCTATTTATACAACAGTGATTTACAAACTCTGCTTCTAGAGTTTCGCAGTCTCTCCTGCAGTGCATTATCTCTCCAGGCAAATCATGGCCATCTTTATTCAAATCAAAGGACAGAAATTAAGGCTGTGGATAGGATTATCTGCATTTCATGTTTTCCACCCATTATATATTTTAAACTTTTGACTCCCACTGGAATCTTGTGTAAGGTAGCATCTGGTGTAGCTTAAATCTACATTTAATCATTTTAAGGTTACTGAATTAGTTAATATTTGTTGAACACCTACTGTGTGTGGGGGGAGGGTTTTCTACTAGATGTGAGATTCAGTGGTGAACGAAGCAGGTACCCTTTCTGCCCTCTCTTATGTAGTTTTACAGAAAGCAAGAAAACAAGTTGAAATAATTTCAGACGTGATCCGACATCATTCTTTTCCACAAATCACCCCAGGTCTGCTCGGAGGCCCACCTGGTAGAAGCCATCCTTCCCTCGTGGATCCTGCCAGTCCGCCTTCTTTCTGGCTAAGTCAGTTTGGGTGAAAAGGCCTCAGCAGTGGCAGAGTTTCATTCGCCTGCCTGAGGAAGAATTCTGGGAGGGGCAAGATACAAAAAGCGGCTGTGCTGGCGTCTCGGCAGCACTCAACAGCTCCTGGCCGGGGCCAGGGGTTTTGGGGGTGCACTTGCCATGGCTGCCTACCTCCCCGAGTCTCCATTTTGACTCTGATGGATAAAGATGCCTTGATTATAGAACCCCCTGCAGTAAAACCATCTTCCCTTCCCCTTGGTCCAGACAGAGGCAGGATTGGGACCGTATGGAATGTGCACAGACCTGGCTAGTTAAGGATCATTGATTGGACTTCTGCTGACCATTAAGTGATGGAAATACTGGGCAGATCCAATATTCAGAGGATCCAGTCAGGCCTGGAAGATGCCTGGTGGCTTCTGGACCAAGTGTGGGATGTAGTCTCCTACTCCTCAGCCATCGGCCTGTCGTAGGTTGACTCTTGACTTCCTTATTCTGTCCTTTCCTGGGCATGCAATCTGCTCAGGGTCATCCTCTTCCCGCCTCTCCTGCCTTCAGGCAGCTCCTGAAGACCTCTCTCTTTTCAGTCCAAGGCTTGCTTGCTAGGTTCTGAGTGGCAGTTTCCATCCCGGGCTGTACATTAGAATCCCTGGCACCTTGAAAAAATATACTGATGCCTGGG